TATGCTTATCTGTGGAATCTAAAACACGAAACAAAACAGGAACAGATTCAGAGATACACAGAACAAACTGGTGGTTGCTAGTGGGGAGGACAGTGGAAAATGGGCAAAAGAGGTGAAGGAGATTAAGAGGTACAAACTTGCAGTTATAAAATAAATACGCCATGTGGATGTAATGTACTGTATACAGAATATAGTCAATTATAATTTTGTATGGTGACAGATGGTAACTAGACCTACGGTGGTGATCACTTCATAATGTATATAAACATTGAATCAATATGTTATCTGTCTGAAACTAATATAATATTGTATGTCAATTATACTTATCTGAAACTAATATATACTGTATGTCAATTATACTTCAAAAAAAAAAAAAAAGAAAGAAAAAAGGTATATAATTAAAAGTATAGAGAAAATCCAAGCTGCTATAACTTAATTAAAAAGTATGCAACCTCTTAAATTTTTTCTGGAATGATGGTATAAATAATGTTTTCAACAGAAGTAAAAATTATATATTATGGAAGTCTACTGTCTTTCAAACCTAGGTGTTTTTTTTAAAGATTGATGTCTGTCATAAGCAATTTATTTTTAAAAGATACTTCCATTTACACACTAGGAAACTATCAGATCATTGCTATTTCACAATCAATAACACACGGTTGATAATACCAGAACTAGAAACTGACTGGTAGCAACACTCTATCTGGACTTACAACTAATAAAAACCAAAATCACGGTGCCCAGGAAAAGCACTTAAAAAGAAGGTACTCTATTTGGGTATTTCTGAAGCACTATTTGTCATAATGTCAAAATAACATTGCTTTGTAAATGATATTATGTGAAATATTTCTGCCATACAAATGACCTCGAAAGATCTCAAACAACCCAACCTTACATGTGACTGAATCATGAAGAAACAGAAAATCTGAACAGATCAATGAGTTAGGAGATTAAATCAGTAATCAAAACTCTTCCAACAAACAGAAGTCCAGGGGCAGATGGCTTCACTGGTGAATGCTACCAAACATTTAAAGAACTAATACCAAATATTTAAAGAACTAATACCAACCCTTCTCAAACTCTTCCTAAAAACTGATTAAAAGAAATAGTTCCAAACACATTTTACAGGGCCAGCATTACCCTCATATGGAAGCCAGACAAAGACACCACAAGAAAAGAAAATTACAGGCCAATATCCCTGATGAACACAGATGCAAAAATCCTCAACGAAATACTAGCAAACCAAATATGAGAGCACATTAAAAGGATCATATACTATGATCAAGTGGAATTTATCCCTGAGATGCAAGCATGGATGGTCTGACATGTGCAAATCAGTAAACATGACATACCACATAAACAAAATGAAGGGTAATAGTCATATGATCATCTCAATAGATGCAAAATAAGCATCTGACAAAATTCAACATACTTTCATGATAAAAACTATCAATAAATTAATTGTAGAAAAAATATACTTCAACATAACAAAGGCCATATATGACAGGCCCAAAGCTAACATACTCAACAGTAAAAAGTTAAAAGTGTTCCTCTAAACTCAGGAATAAGACAAGGATGCTTGCTCTCACCACTTCTATGCAACATAGTACTTGGAAGTCTTGGCCACAGAAAATTGGCATAAAAAGAAATTAAAAGCCTCCAATAGGAAAAGAAGTAAACTGTCACTATTTGCAGATATGATCCTATATATTGAAAACCCTAAAGACTACACCAAAAATCTGTTAGACCTAATTAACAAATTCAGTAAAGTTGTAGGAAACTAAATCAACATACAAAAATCAGTTGCATTTCTATATACAAGCTACTTGAAAAAGAAATCAAGAAAGCAATCAATAGATTTAAAAATAATATCAGAAATAAATTTAACCAGGAAAATAAAAGACCTGTACACTGAAAACTATAAGACACTGATGAAAGAAACTGAAGAAGACATTAATAAATGAAAGATATCCTATATTTTTGGATTGGAAGAATTAATACTGTTAAAATGTCCATATTACTCCAAGTGATCTATGAATTCAATATACTCTCTATCAAAATCTCACTGGCATTTTTCAAAGAAATGGAAAAAACAATCCTGAAATTCACAAGACCACCACAAATGACCCTGAATAGCCAGAGCAACCTTAAGACTAAAGAACAAAGGTGGAGGCATCACAGTACTTGATTTCAAACTTTATTACAATACTACAGTAATCAAAACATAGTACTGGCATAAAAACAGGCATATAGACCAATGAAACAAAATAAGAAAGCCCAGAAATAAACCCGCACGCTTATGGTCAACCAAGCTTTGACAAGGCACCAACACATAATGGGGAAGGGACAGCCTCTTCAATAAATGGTGCTGGGAAAACTGAATATCTTTATGCAAAAGAATGAAACTGGACCCTTATCTTCTGCCACTGATGAAAATTAACTAAAAATGTATTAAAGACTAAAATTTAAGACCTGAAATCATAAAACTTTAAGAAGAAAACATAGGGGAAATTTCCTTGATATTAATCTTGGCAATAATTATTTGGATTGGACAACAAAAGTAAAGGCAAAACTAAATAAGTAGGACTACCTAAATTAAAAAGCTTTCTCCTAAAAAGCTTTCTACTAAATAAGTAGGACTACCTAAATTAAAAAGCTTTGCTCTGCAAAGAATAACAATCAACAAAATGAAAAGGCAACCTACCTAATGGAAAAAATATTTGTGAATCACATATCTGATATGGGGTTAATATCCAAAATATATAAAGAATTATATAAAGAACACAATTCAATAACAAAAAACCCCAAACAATCTGTTTAAAAAATGAGAAGAGAAACTAAGTAGACATTTTACAAAGAAGACATACAAATATCCAAAAGGTACATAAAAAAGATGTTCAACATCTCTATTCATCAAGGAAAATGTAAATCAAAACTACAAAGAGATATCATCTTACATCTGTAAGAATGGCTATTATCAAAAGTTAAGAGATAGCAAGTGTTGATGACGATGTAGAGAAAGAGGACTCTTGTGCATTCTGGGTGGGAACGTAAATTGGTGTAGCCACAATGGAAACAATATGGAGGTTCCTCAAAAAATTAAAAATAGAACTACCATATGAGCGAGCAATCGCTTCCCTGGGTATATACTTGAAAGACATAAAATCAGTTTCTCAAAGAGAAATCTGCACTCCCATGCTCATTGCAGCATTATTTACAATAGCCAATACATGAAAATGACCGAAGTATCTGTCAGTGGATGAATGGATAAAGAAAATATGGTATATAAATACAATGGAATATTATTCAGCCATAAAAAGATGGACATCCTGCCATTTCCAACATTATGGATGAACCTGGAGGGTATTCTGCTAAGTGAAATAAGTCAGACAGCAAAAGATAAATAATGTATGGTATCAATGTGGAAACAAAACAAAAAAGTCAATTTCATTGAAACAGGCAGTAGAATGGTGGTTGCCAGGGACTGGGAGGCAGGGTGGAAGATAAAGGGAGATGTAGATCAAAGGGTACAAACTTTCAGTTACAAGATAAATAAGTTCTGAGGATCTAATGCACAGTATAGTACTACAGTTAAGAGTAAATCTTAAGTGTTCTCACTACACATGTACAAAAGAGTTAATTATGAGAGATGATGGATGTGCTAATTATCTTCATGGTGATTATTTTACAATGTGTATATATATATATATATCAAATCACACGGTACACTTTAAATATATACAACTATATTTGTCAATTATTCCTCAATAAAGCTGAAAAAATAAATAAAAAGGGAGTATAGAAAAAAGTCTTTCTGGTTTTTTCAACTGGCAATTTTAGGAGATACAATAAAGCAAGACATTTAGTTTGCTAGATTAAAGAAGTTCAAAAATGGAATACCAGATCTGTCTTGTCACGTTAGTTTTTTTAACCTCTGTGTTTCCTACAAAATAGACTTACAAAAAAACCTATTGACAATAAATATATGTTTTAACATGTATGCCAGGCCAAGAATAAATTTCAAATTTGAAAGAAAGAATGTAGTATTTTTGGTCATAAGCAATAAACAGGCTTCCCTGAGCATTTTGATAATCTTCAAGAAGATAGAGTAAACTCTCCATTATACACAATTCATTAAAATTTAACAATAACCCAGCATTTCAGTAACCATAGTGTGCCAAAAAGATAATGGTAAACACTTCAAATTCCTACGATGTTTTTAAATTTTAAAAAAGGATTGAATTATGCTCAGCGTAGCTTTAGTGTTAGGTATATTTTATTATTTTATGATGCTTTGGAAATTGGTAATCACATTAGACACATATGATAACTCTCCAGAATGTTACATTAACTATTTCATTTTCTAACTGCATAGAATAAAAGTGTATACCATATCAGGGAAGCTGAAAAACTGCCCACTGATTATGTTAGGGCCATCAGTTTTGGCTCAAACACTTTAATGCTGGTGTCTTTACTTAGAATACAAGTGAATAACAGAGTTGCTATAACATATCTATTTTATATCTTCTTACATTGCCTTCTGGCTCTTTGTTTTCTAATTAGAGTAGTTAATCAGAAAAAAATGTGGTTAAAAAACTCAAAAGGCAGACTATAAAACTTTATCATAAAACACCTTTGTAATCTTGTCAAATTATGCATCCACGTTCACTGTATATTTTTTTAAATTATATCCCACATGATAAAATTGATACCACCCCTACTTTTTTTTTGTTTTCCTGGAAATTTCACATACTTATCTTTCATTTGTTCATAATAAGAAACCTAAAAGTGAGACAAGGAACCTATAAGCAAGCCTGTTTTACTGAGGCCTCAAATATATGTCTTATAAGAGGTATTAGAAGGGTACAAACTTATAATGATGCTCTTTGGTATCTGACATTTGTAATTGAAAAAATAAAAATAATGATGAAAAGTTATTATTGGCCACTATTATGTTGCTTCAGATTTTTATTTTAAGTTGAAAATATTCCTTGGCTTACCCGCTGCATGTAACAAACTAGCTTCCAGTCTATGGGGGACTCTTGGTGGAACTTTCATAGATGCACGAATCTGGTAAAAACTAAAGCAAAAGAGACAAAGAAGTCATTTCAAAACATATTTTTAAAATATGCAATGCCCCAATTTCTATATATCTATACATATTAAAATAATAAAGTTAGTCTGCTTCAATCAGCTCCCCAAATATTTACTACTGGTGGAAAACAACATATCAGATCCACAAATCAAATATTGGCGTGGGATAAAACCCAAAGGGAAACCAGTATGTATAAAGATGAATGGAAAAACAGAAATATATATGGTATTTCTTACTTTAAATGACAGACTGTCACAGCAACCAGAGGAATCAGTAAGGCATCTAAGAGTTTCACTGCTTAATTTGGTTTACGCATTTTTTCCTTTTACAATATAATAAAGCAATTATTAGTAAGTATAACTTTGAGAAAAGAGAGAATTATAAATGGTTTTTAAAAATTGGTTTCATACTATGAAAACCTACCCACTCAAAAAAACAAACCTACTCAGATGTTATATGTCCTCTCTCTTCTGTACCTACCCAAACTTTAGGCACTGCTTAATCAGTTCTTTATCATGTGACAACAGTGCAAAACTAAACACTAAAAATATTTAGAAGAAGAGGAAAAGAACCATCACTAAACATGCACAAGAAATGTTTCCTCACATTCCATTTCCATTTAATCCTTATTGGGCTATAATTCTAATGTTATTCAGAAAGATATTTATTGATGTTATTTTTAAATATCAATGTAAGATACTGTATAGGAATACTTAATTACTTGAAATTATTTGAAATACTAAATTACTTGAAATTTCAAGTATCTTAAGCAGTCATTTAATATATCAGAAAATAAATCACTAAAGATCTTTTTTAATTTACTAATATTTAAATACAAGTTTAGATATTTTATCTATGTTTATCTATCAAAGCTGACAGTTATTTAACCTAACAGCCAAACTCAGGCTCCAGGTTAACTGGCTTAAATGGCAGAAGTAGTAAGGACTCGATAAGTAACATAAAGATAAGATTTAAAAGAAAAAATAAATCAGAATAGAAACAAAAATTATGTTCTTAAAAATATTCTTACAAACAAGTCAAGCCCTTTATCTAAAAAGAGTATGTCTCTAATCAGATTTTTTGAGAGATCAGTAACATAATATTCTTCAAAAGTCCTCAATGGATGGAGAAACCAGGTTGTAGAACAACAGAAAATTAATAAAAGCAGCAATTATACATGCTATATTTATGATGGTGACAATAAAAGAGAACTTAATCCTTATACCCAGTTCCAAACCTCCAACTATTTATAAACTATCTCTACTGGGATATGTTAAAGAGAAAACCACAGGCCCCAAATGGAATAACTTACATTAAAGCCCATGACATGAAACCACTTAATACCTAACCTAAATGCAGTTTCAACCTTCTCCAGGAATGTTATAACTGGTCAGTCTGGAATTTTCTAGTCAGTACCAATGAGATAATCTGTCAAATGGGCCCTCTCCATCTTCAAAGAAAGCTAAGGCAATCTACCTGGTAAGACTCCTGTGTCCCCTTAAAGGAAGGTAACTTTGCCTAAAATAATCCTTTTTTTTCTAATAACTTTCTTGTCCTACCCAGTTTCTGCCTAAAAATACCTTCCATATTGTACAGCTTTCTACTTGCTAGATGGGATGCTGCCCAATTCATAAATCACTCAATAAAACCAACTATGTCTTTAAATTTACTTGAAGTTTTATTCTTTAACAGACATCTCATTTCAAACTCAACATATCAAAATGAACTAATCTTGAGTCCCACACCAGTCATCCTATTCAACTTCATTATTTATTTCAGTATTACCAATATTTTCCAAGTTAATGTGATTTAAAAATTCAGCATTATTTTTTAAATTTCACATTATTATGAATTCCAAATTTGCAAAAAGTAGAGCAATGAACTGACATTCCCATTGCCTATATTCGATTATTAAAAAGATTTTGCCATATTTGATTCATCAGTATTTTTTTCTTTGCTGAGCTATTTCAAAGAAATCATGCAAATCCACACCTCGACAAACATATTTTTAATGCTTTTTCCATCTGAACATCATCTTCCATATGGAATTAGTCACTAAATCCTATTTGCCTCATAGAAATTAATAAGAAAAAAATATTAAAGTGTATGGTAGGTTGATTTATTAAATGTTTCCAATTTTTTTCCCCGTCTCTATCAACACCTCTTGCAATGTGACTCCCATTAAAAAGTGGACTGTAGTTCCCCACTCCTTAAATGTGGGCCCACTTTATGACTTGTTTTGGGCAATATAATGTGGCTGAGATGAAGCCTAGGTCTTAAGAGGTCTTCTTATATAGTTTCTTATTCTCTTTGGAAACCTGTCTCCTCCATGAGAATAAGCTGGAAGGTGAGGTCATAAGACATAGCTGTGTCCACCCAGGTGAGGCCACTCTGCATCAGCTAGCACCCAGCCAACCTGTCATTGCCTACAAATTCATGAGTGAGCCCAGCGAAGATTTGTTAAGCCAGCCCAGATCAGCAGAATGAACCATTTAGATGATCTATAGACTTGTGAGCAAAATAAATGTTTATTGTTGTGATGCCACTGAAGCTTTGTGTTTCTTGTTATCTCTATTATTGTGACAATATACAACTAATACAGAAATTGCTACCTAACAACAAAAACTTAAAATATGTAGCATTGACTTTGTGACAAAAGTAACAGTTATAGTTACAGAGGTAAGAAAAATAATAAGAAAACTATAGGAGACTTAAACAACAGTAACCCATTTTTGCATAAAAGAAACATAGGTACTAAACTCATAGACCTTGGATTTAGAGAATTACGAATTTGCCCTCAAAGGCAAGGAAAGTAAAAGCAAAAAAAAAAAAAAAAAAAGAATGTGACTATATCACGGTAAAAAGCTGCTGCACAGCAAAAGAAACCATCAACAAGGCAAAGAAGCAACTATTTGAGTGGGAGAAGATTATTTGCAAACGACACCTCTGATAAGGGCCTAATATCCAAAATATACAAAGAATTCATGCAACTCAATCTAATTAAACAATCTAATTAAAAAATGGGCAGAGGACCTGAACAAACTCTTCTCCCAAAAAGACATACAAATGGCCAAAAGACACATGAAAAGATGCTCAACTTCGTTAGCTATTAGAGACATGCACAGCAAAACCACAATGAAATACCACCTCACACCTGTTAGAATGGCTATCTTCAACAGAACAAGTAATAACAAGTTTTGGAGAGGTCATGGGAAAAAAGGAACCCTCAGACACTGCTGGTAAAAATGTAAATTGGTATAGTCACTGTGGAAAACAGCATGAAGATTCCTCAAAAAATTAAGAATAGAATTACCATATGGCCCAGAAATCCCTTTTCTGGGTATTTGCCCAAAATACTTGAAAACATTTATCCATAAAGATATATACACCCCAACATTCATAGCAGCATTATTCATTCGCAGTGGCCAAGACATGGAAACAACTGAAGTGTCCTTCAATAGATAATCAGATAAAGAAAATGTGGTCCATATATATAATGGAATATTACTCAGCCATAAGAAAAGATGAAATATTACCATTTGCAACAACATGGATGGATCTTGAGATCATCATGCTAAGCAAAATAAGTCAGACAGAAAAAGTTGAGAACCATATGATTTTACTCATATGTGGGATATAAAACTGAAAGCAACAAATGAACATGACAGAGACTCATGAACACAGACAGTAGATTAGTGATTACTGGAGGGAAGAAGGAAGTGGGGAGGCAGATAGGAGTAAAGGGGGTCAAATACATGGTGACAGAAGGAAATTTAGCTTTGGATGTGAACACGTAATGCAATATACATCTGACATATTACTCAATTGTACACTTGAAACCTATATGATTTTATTAACAATGTCACCAAAAAAAAAAAAAAAAAAAAGGTAACCCATGTTACATAGTGATGAAACTTTTGGTAAATATGCTGTCAGTAATAACTTAGCAGAAATTCGACAGTGTAACTAAGAAACTTTTGTACTTGATTAAGCCAATTTCCAGTCAAGTGGTTGCTCCTAGCTAAGTATAACAAGATTTTGCAAGAAAGAGACAAGTTAAAGAAAGAACTGGTCATTTTACAAGTAGAATCTAGAATGAATAAAGAGCAACTAGGACTTGCTAGGTTAGAAAATAAAACTGTTTTTCATCTCCTCTCCCTAAAGATTTTCAAAATAAAATGCCACTATGAACAAAGATCAACTCATGGGTGTGGTTACAAATCCTTTTCTTATAATCTCTAAAGGAATTAAGGCAACGTCTAAATAGACATTCTGTTTGACAAAGGGGCTTTTACAAAGTTTAAGGGCATGATCCCACATAATTCTGATCCCCAAATAGTAGTGATTATACCCAGAGAGTAGTCATGCCTCAAAAAAAAAATAATTGTGGGTATAGGTTTCAAAACATGGAATGGACTATACCAGACATACAGAAACCCCATAAAGTTTTAAGTTTTATTGGTCGAAGTGCCACTAGCCTAGACTCCTGGCCTGGCCTTTTAACTTGCTTAGACAACAGATGCCATGGAAGTAACAACTGAGCCAATTCAAGGAAACTTGCATCTTCTGCTCTCTTTCTTGGACTCCTGTCATTACTGAGAACAAACCTAGGCTGTCCTACTGAAGAATGAAAGATAATGTGGAGCAGAAAGCACAGCTGTTTCTATATTTTCAACAAGATGGCAAAGCCAAGTCAAAACAAACAAACAAATAAGACAATAGAAAATCTCTCTCATTCTATTCTTGTTTCTCATAAATACGGTACTACCATTCTTAGTACAGACCTTCAGGTATATATCTTGAGTTACTGCAAGCACCTCTAAACTGTTCCCTATGCTTCTGTTTCTTATACACAACCATCAATCTAACATGTCCCAATCTTCATCAAGTTAATAAGTGCTTACTGTAACAGTGATAACTTCATCTTTACTTGGAAATCATCAGTGGCTACCCAAGTCCCTAATGTCATCACTTCCCTAGACATTAAGAGCCCTTCACAAACACAACCGCTCCTTTACTATTTTTTTCTTCTGCAATTCTCCTAGAGAATATCCAATTTAAATATTCTTTAAAATAACGTGTTCATTCCTATTTCCAAGACTTGATTCATGCTGCTCTCTCTTCCTAAAAGAGTCTTTGCTTTATCCTTTGCCTATCCAAGTCTTATCCATACTTTGATCCTATCCTTCCATAATTCCTTTCCTAACATACTAACCCAGAAAGATGTCTTCATATTATGATTCCTAGAGCACTTCCTATATATACTTATTCAATATTCATTATTTTGTATTTCTTATTAGTGTTTTGTGTAGATATATTATTTTCCCCATACACTATAAGCTTTTAAAAAGGAGAAATGAGATCTTATACGTTTTCATTAAAGTCCTCTCAATGACCAGTACAAATTTATAAATACATGTTAAATATATCTGGCATTATCAATATATCCATGTGAAGAATTCTCAAATATATATTTAAAAATAAAATTCCTCTGACAAAATAATTATTTGAATATACCTCATTGTTTTCCTTATATATATCTGCTGGAACAAAAGTATGTAATTAAAGTTAAACGAAAACTGTACATATTATCTTATACAGTCTGTATATTTTTCACATTAAAATACACACCCTCTCTGAAATAAATCCACATTGTAGAACTTGTTTAGCTCCACGGAGAATTCTACCATTGCTTGAACTTCAGTCATTTTTAATTAATATTCAGAAGACAAATCTGGTAATAGCACCTTGATTAAAAAAGGGGGAAAAAATCATGAGAAGCACAACAAAAATGTCATCTTATAAAAAAACTAATATTTAAACATATTTGGGTATAACAGAAAAAAAAATATAGGCAGAAAAGAAAAATGAAGCAAATTAGATCAGTGTACCTAACTTAGTCTAACTCAACTAGATAGTACCAGAATCTGTACTTATTAAATATACTTACTAATAATATACTTACTAAGTAGCACCACTCCATAATTTAAGATATGTCCTGTTAGACCGCTTTTCCTAAGATTTGCTTCCCTTCATGACATGTATGTGACAATGAATTGTCAAAGAATGACAAAGATTGACTTTGTCTATCATAAATTAAATAGTAACTTTCTGAGAAAAAAATTAAGCTACCTAATAATTCTCTTGTAGTTCTACATTGTACAAAAAGGCAACTCCAGAGTAAAAAGTGAATTAACATTTTTTATATCCTATTTATATTTATGAAGGTTTTTCTCTGTTATAGGTGAAGTTCTTAAATTTCAAAAAAAATTTCCCTCATTAAGCCTAAAGTATTCATTTCCAAAGGGGTTAAAATAATACTGACAAGCAAAAAAAATAAAATAAAATAAAAATAAAAATCACAATTCTACTCATTTAAATATATATTTTGGTATATATTCTTCATATGTGTATGCATTTATATAATTTCTGTAAAAGCAAGATCAAACCATATGTACATTTAATAACCCACTTATTTAATTTTTTGAGTAACATCTATGTCAATATATGTGGTTTTATAACATTTTCAACTGTTAACTATTACACTGTGAATGTTGTAATTTAAACAACCTATTATTGGGTATTTCAGTGGTTTCCATCTTTTCGCTATTTCAAGAAAACACTATAACAATCATCCTTATCAATAATACATGCTTTAAAAAGCAATTCAGAGTAAGAAACTATTGAAACACAATCCTCCAGAGTCTCATGTTTCTATATGTCTTGCAGTAGAAAGAATGACTGCCTTTGTTCCAAACCATTTTTCAAGGATGTGTGTTTAGCAACAGTCTTAGGAAGTCAGAGATAGTATCTCATACTGGAACAAAGGGCAAACATGTTTACTGTCCCAAGTAATACAGATAAAGTCTTTCCCTGAGCCATAAGTGAGGCAGGCGATTGTCCAACAGAAAAGATTCAGGTTCCTTTAGCTTAGGGTTCCTATCCCATAACACAACCTATATATACGCGGGTGTTGCTTGCTACTGCTGTTGAGTATAAATTTTGCTTTTCCTTGATCCGGGAGCCTCAGGTCTTTTGACCACATCCATGGCACTTGTGACAGGCTATACTCTTCACAGTTCTTGGAATAGTTCTTCACAGAAATTTGGCAAAGAATCTCACCTATTATGAATTAAATATAAAAGAAATGCCATATTCTTACCTCTGCTGATCAAAATTTCATTTTAACATCAATAAATAACCAATCTTGTACTTCCAATTATTGATTCTTGTTAAAAATATATTGTTCCCCCTGAGAAAGAAAAAAATAACATGTCAAACGAAATAGTAAACATAAAAGAGTCCATTTTAAGGAAACTTATGTTTTGTTAGTTACTTAATATTCTCAATTTATCTAAAAGATCTATATTCTCTATAAGGTTTAGAAATAAGTTTTAGAGATTTGTTTTCATTCGGTTTCACTGATATCAATATTAACTATTATGTCTTTGTTAAAGATTCACTTGTGCATACTTCAAAGTACAATAATAAATGGAACACTACTTTCTTAGTTCAATGGTTCAGAAACAATCTTCGTGAATATCTAAAACTTTATAAATTTATTAATTTTTAAGATGTTGATCTCACCATTTTAAAATAACTCCCTGGGTAGAGTAACTGGGTTCTGAAATTATATATATGAATGAGATAAACACACACACACGTGCGCGCACTATAAGCTACTTAAAATATTTTGACAAAAACGGCACCTGGATATGCTATGGGTAGTTTTTCTACACTCCAAATATTTATTGCTTAAATTAAAAAAAAAAAAAAATCTTTTGTGCTTGGTGTAACCATTTTAAGCATTAAAAATATTAGACTAAAGACCACAATTCACTCGTCTTCATAGACTTTTTCCTTCTATCATAAAGACACCTTCCGTAACTATTATTTTAAACCTTAATCATATCAAAAGATGTTACAGTAACTATTTCTGAGATCAAAACAACACTACTTGCATTTATAAGATATTCCCTGTTTCATGGAAATAACCTACTACCTAAGATAGCTTCTCTTGTACATATATTCTTGTGTACAGGGTTTAGATCATGTTCCAGTTCTGATTCTTGGTCAAGTTTGGTTAAATCTCTTTACCTTAACTTACTCAGATATAAAATAATATTTATTCACTTAAACACTTATTGAACATTTAACTATAAGCTAGGAAATGCAACAGGTACACGGTACAGCTCAGTTCCTGACCTCAGAGAGCTCACTATACATCAGGAAGAGAAAAATATATAAGTACAGCACAATGGTTAAAACGCGGGCTTAGGATTTGAGTCCAGATTCAACATTTTGGTAGTTACCCCTTTCTTGTCTTCAATTCCTTTATAGAACATAGCAGTGTTTCCACCTGTATTAGAAGGCCCATTGTATGGAGAAAAAAAATAACTTTTTTCCTCATTTAAGCCATTTTATTTTTGGATTATAGCAGCTTTTTCCTTATTATAGAAATCAATACCAGAATTTGAGTATTGCCATAACAAAATCTTAAAATATGTGGCACTGGCTTATTTAGGTAGCAGGTAACAGGGAAACAGATACTACTAAAATAGTAGTAACCTTTGTTACTACTGTTGGACAATACATTCAGTAAACTGTTACCTATAGTTACTTACAGAACTGGGTGCTCATAAAAAGCCCAGAACTCCAGGGAATGTAGATGAAAAGAACCACAACATTCATATGTGTCAGTTGTTCTTTGCTACATTTACTTAGGCATGAACAGGCTAGTCTGCAAGCAAAGATGGAAGAAAACAGAGAATAGAAATGTGGGGTCTTGTGGCCAGCTACTTCAGTACCTCTATTATCAGGACTATTTTTCTCCAAGGACTTCTTTAAAACTTCTTGACAAAACAAAGGGATCCACCTCTATTGCTAAAATTAAATTAAAGGTGCCGCTCTTTAAGATGGCTTAAAGACAGGGGACACTAAATGAGGCAAAGTAGTGGGTGCACAGAGAGCAATAAAGGCGGGCTTAAGAACTACACCAGGAAAGAACTTTGGTATAGTTACTGGTATATAGGACTGAACAAAGACAAACTTGTAAGAATCTTATTATATTTTTGAGAGAATTTTGTCAAAGAAATTATAAGCTACCCTGCAAACACCTGTGACTATGTAACTTGCAGCATGGCAAATATATAGTTGCAGAAAGCGGGCTATCAAAACTATATATCCTCCAATGTAGGCAAATTTTCAATACCAACCTCATACATGGTCATGGAAGTTAATATAAGGAAGGAACATCCTACAGCAAAGATAGGGATCATAGTGCTATGAACAAAGACATTCTTAGCAGAAAGCAAAACTAAGGATATTTAGATACTACTCTATGGCCAAGGCAAGGAATCTTCATCATTCCTGCCCAATATTACCCTCAACCAGAGACTGCTATGTATTTCTCATTGTTTGCTTACCCAGATGAAAGATTTTATTACTCTTTTCCTGTTTCTGATCCACCACTATATGTTGGGTGTGTGTGGGAAGAGTAGGGGAGATGCAAATAACTGTCTTTTGTTTACAGGTAACTGGACTTGCAGATCTGATGGAAAGTACTGCAGCTCTTAGAGAGTTTGGAATAATGTAACAAGTGGATGGCCCCTTGGGTTATCTTCTTCAGGGAAGGGAGATAGGATGATGGATACACATGGATATTTAGGTGTCCAAAGAGGAAGACTAAAGTAGACCACATGTTATTTGTTTTCCTCTTCTTCCTTGCCAGTTAGTTACCAAGTCTGAGACTGCATTCCCCAACCACCCTAGAGGCCAAATGCGGCTAAGTGATCCTTCCCATGGAATGTAAACTGAAATGATATATGCAATGTTTGCCTCACTTGTTTAAAAGGAAATTCTTTGCCCTGGACTTTATCTGCTTCCCCCTTTTTTTTATAGGCTAGAATACCTTCTTGATAGTGACCTAGTTTTGACCACACATATTAGAACAAAACACTGATAAATGGTAAAACAACAAGGTGGAAAGATTATGGATTCCTGAATGGTTTCATGGAGCACAGATGTCCTATCTACCTAGACTGCTCAGACTTTTAAGTCTTATAACTCTGTTACAGCAACTACACCTAACCTATGTACTAACTACTATATCCCCCCTCCAGGCTATTTTCAAGAAAGCAGTCAGATGATTCTTATATTATATATTATATATATATTAAGAAGTACATATAATATGTAATGTGTAGTTAATAATATTTGAATATAATTTGAATTTGAAAATAATTCAAATTGTCTCTCTCCAAAATCTCAATGGCTTCCCACCATATTCAGTAAAAATGCCTTACATAATCTGGATCTTCCAAAGCTTCTCTGACCTCATCTCCTACCAGTCTTCCCACTGTAATCACTGTTTCCTTGCTATACCTCAAAGATACCAAATATATTCCTGCCTCAGGGTCTTTGCATTTGTTCCCTAGAACACTCTTCCCTCCTAACTATCCAAATGACTTATTCTTTCACCTCCTCTAGTCTGAACTCAAAAGTTAACTTCTCAAATAGGCCTTTCCTGGTGACACTATCTAAAATAATAACTCTCCTCTCCTGGCACACCCTATCTCTTTCCTCTGTTATTTTTTTTCTCAGCACTTATCCTCATATAACAAACTAAAGATTTTACTTATTAGTCTTTAGTATTTCTTCCTACTAAAATTTAAGCTTCATGAAGGCAGGAAAGTCTGACTACTTTGTTCATAGCTGTATCCCCATTGCCTGACACATGATAGACACTTACGTTTAATATTTAAGGAATTCCTAATTAACATAAAATATTGCATAAATATTAACTATTATTATTTTTCTATTTATATCCAACCAAACTGAAAAATTATTATAATGCTATAGTGAAAACAAAGGCATGTATGAATAAATTTTTATAAAATTCCTTTACCAGTATAAATTCAAGGCCTGCTAGCAATTTCCTTCACTCTTCCTCTCATATCCTGCGGTGCTTTTTGTTCTACTATTGCTGTCTAATTTTCCTCAAACCCATCCCCTTTTATTCATCATTCCCTAAGTAGAAATATACATGTACATATACATACAGAATGATGGTGATAAATCTGTTTTTCATCCCCTTCCCCCCCAGAGAAGCATTATTGGTATCAGAAAAATTAAAAGGAGAAGGTACTAAAGGAAAAGGAGAGAGCAGGCAAAAAGAGAAAAGAAAAGAAAAATTCAGAGAATTCTCAGAGTCAATGAGGACCTGTCTGATCCTCTTCCCATAAGCTGCTCTTTTCTCATCATAGGGCGCAATTGCTACTCAGTTCTAGCCAATCCTTGCAGGCCCAGCTCTATCAGAGACTTCTAAATTTTCAAAAAAAAATTGTTTTTTCCTAAAGGTGAAATCTCCTAAATTTTAGATGTTGCCAACTAGTTAAAAAACAAAAGCAAAACAAACAAAAACTGTGTAGTTCAAACTGAATTCACCTACAGGGCAAATTCATTCAGAGTTTGCAATCTTGAATTTACACAGGTTCTTATGCCACTCAGTTCATCAAACAAAGAATATTTCATGAGACAAAACAATTCTGGCCTGTCTTCTCTCAAAAATAAAAGAAGCTGAAGAAAGAAAAGAGCTCCTTTCTTTTTTACCTAGGTGATGCCTTAGAGATCTCCATTGCAAGGAACTCTCTGCACCCACCAGAACCCATGAATTTCATGACCCTTCTGCACAGTCTACCGGTTGGCTCAGAAGCTGTCACTTTAATCTGAGCCTTTGAGGCTATGGGAATCAGCTGATTTACCTGAGACTGAATAGTTCATTCAGTTCTGGCCCTAGCAAAGTAGCCTAAACAGAATAATTGGAGAGATCTGCTCAAGTTTGGCTCCTTCCTCAGCCATTCTCAAGTACCTAAGAGAGAATGTAGCTGAGTAAACTACAAATCCCAAAAAAGCCACAGGGGAACCTCAAACAGGATCTGACCCTGATACTAAAATGAAACAGGCTGAAAGGCTTTTAGTTATGAGAAGGGACTTCTCTGCTATTCAAACCTGACAGGGGAAACGATCTGACAATTGCCTTGTGATACTCCTAAAGAAACAGTTACCTATTAATCCAAAAGAAATTTTTGGCCTTCTAGAGCTGCTCTGTCCATCACAGTGGCCACTAACCACACATGGCTACTGAACACTGAAATGTGACTAGTGTGACTGTTTTATTTTAAATTAACTTAAATTTAAATCCAAACACTGAAGTAGTATAAAATACTTTTCCATTAAACATAATTTTATTGT